TCTCTCTCTCTCTCTCTCTCTCTCTCTCTCTCTCTCTCTCTCTCTCTGTCTGTCTGTCTGTTTGTCTGCTTGTGTGTCTGCTCGTTGCACTCGCTCTCTGTTTAGACACACCTGACAAATATATGGAATAAGGACTTAATTTATAAACCACAATGACAAACAGCAGTGACACTACTATTAGATCATTTATATCACATTTAATATATCGTTTTTATCATTTACAGTGGATTATTTGTGTGTTATCTTGCCAGATTCGCTTGCGTCATGCAGAATAAAATAGACCCGGCACCAAAACTATCGCTGAAGATCGCGAGCTGGCCACAGACCTCCACGCCTCGGCGCATCATGTGTGATAAGCCCAATTCTTTTACATTGGCGCCAAAAGGTAGCAGACGGCACTTCTCCAAAAATCGTGGTGCTTCCTTGTCCAGTATGAACACGAACATGGCAAATGTAAAATTTGTAAATTACTAAAAATATATATTTGTATTGAATCTACTCCCTTGGCAGTACCCATGCGTCCCACTAGATGGTGCTCTGAGGCCCACCAGCGGGCCACTGGTTGAGAATAGCTGCACCAGGTCATCCTGGCATCGATCAGAACAAGAGGGACAACCACTTCATCTCTGAAAACGGCTTCTCCCCACCTCTCACCCTTTCCTTTTTTTCCATTTATCTTGGCCCCCTGGCATAAACCATTTCTTTACACTTCAGTAATACAAAGGAGAGGCTTTCCCTCTGAGGGACAGACAGAGTGTGCTAGACTGGCATATCTGTCAGCCAACCCTGACAGGAGGACGGAGAGTGTCAGCACTCACTCAAGCCCCTTTGGCAGCGTCACACTACCCTGACACCTGTAACACACACACCTGTCGGGATCTGGGATGTGTGGGTGTGTGTGTTGGGTTGCGAGAACGCCCCAATATGTGTGTATCCATTGGTGTGTTTTGTTTCATGATTGTGCCACAGTATGGGTCTGCATATAACGTATTTGTGAGATCGGTGGTGGAGACTGCAAGTGCTCATGAGTATGTGAGAGTGACTAGGTAAATATGTAGGTGTGTGTGTGTGTGTATACATACACGCACTACATGTGCGCAGTTATGTACATGTTGGCTCTCTGGAGCCTCCCAAAGCTGACTGACACAGATGCTCACACAAAAAGGACGCTCCAATCTTGGCTTGGTGCCTCCAGTTCTCTCGAGGAAGGCTTTCACATTTGCAGGCAGCCTGCTTCACAGGTTCAGATCATGTTCACGGTAACTGGTAGCTGCTATTCCAAAACAGGCTCTGGTGGCCCGGTTCAAGTGGCGTGCTTGCCGGTGATAACCACGGAAAAAACTGAAGAAGACAAGGCTTTGTAGTGTGCAGGCATTAGCCTCCAGTATTGTATCCTTAAAGCTCAAACCAACGACTCAACAGGGGTTTTCAAGCTGTCATAATCTGTCTGAGAAATCTACCACGTACCTCATATCACCGCCTTGATCTCTAAAAATCTGAGGATAGTCTTCTGAACATGATTCAAATCATAAATACTGCCCTGGTAAAAGCAAACATCAATGCAACTGACTGAACTGTTCTTGAAGCCAAATGTACCTCAGAATGATTCATTTTGAATAAAAGACTGAGATACAAAACATTTATTTACTGAAACAAATGTCTTAATATAAGACATTTGATAAGGATGCCGAATACACTTATATAAATGTCAAAATTTGCCTTTATTCATGTCTGCTTTTCCAAATCTTCCGAATAGGTTTGGCCCAATAAAGGCACGGCAATGTGGCTGTAAATGAGGATCCCTTCAATGTTAATCAAAGGCAGAGATGTCCGCCTAGCAGTAGCAGCTGGATGGCAATGATAAGGTACCCCTCAGCCACAGGCTGAACAATAATACGCTACCTTTAGTGCTGCATGAACATATTTTCAGTAAACAAAGCAACAAATAAATAATTGATCCTTGGACTGACCTGCCCCTTTGGTCACCACCAGTTTGGGTTTGCTCCGGGCTCCATCCCCCTTGGTGGTGTACGCTGCCACCGTGATGGAGTAAGTGGTGTCTGGCTTGAGTCCTCCAATGACCATTTCCTATGGGAGACAGGGAAGAGACGGACAGGAAAATGTCAAAATGTGTCTTGAATTTTTGATGATTTGACCCCCCTTCAAGCAGCTCAAACTGCTTTATACAGGATGTTAATCTATGTGTCTCCTGGTCCTCAGTGTTCACTAGGCATGCATTAAATGTAATGCTTCCCCCTGAGTAATGGGAGACTGTTCCATTAAGTTAATTGTTAGAGTTGCCAAGGTGGAGGAGGGACATTAGGTATGTAAATGGAAGTAGCGCCCTCATTCCTTTTGCAATATTCCAATCAACAACTTAACTTTGTGATAAATGCATGCTGAATACATCCTGCCCATTCGCTGGCAGTTTTTACCTTAGCCATTAAGTTTCCTTGAGTCCTCTTCAAAGAGAGGCTTCCGATCAATTCTAATGAATCTTTCAGGGCAGCAGGTTTGAACGAATGCAGAATGAGGATTTTAACAGGTTGGCAGAGGGATGGGGGAGGTCAATAAAGGTAAATGAGCTATAAGTACTGTCTAGTACTTGACATGGTATTCACGTAATGCAGATGGACTGGGTTTCACATCTGGATGCAAAATAAGGGGACAATTTGTTGCACTTGAGATTGATCATCAAAGATGTAATAAGGAGTTTGCGGTAGGTTTCAACGGTCATATGTGACCGTTATGTAAACTACCGTCTCAATATTTTGAATAAAAGACATACGAAAAAAGTTTGAACTTAGGGCAGCACAGATATTCTAAAAACAAATATGGCTTAAAAACGCACACAATAAAGGAAAAAAAACAACACATACACACCACCAGAGCACAAGACAACACATACTGTTTCAACACACAGCAGGACACAAATAGCATTAGCATTCCAGGCACAGTGGGCAGTGGATATTGCATCAGCCCTCGTTTTGTTGAAGCTAGCAAGCAATAGAAGTTTGTCCTTTTTTTTTTCCTTAGCGGCATACAGAGATAGTCCGGAGGTTGGCTGGCCAGACGGCTGAGGTGAAACTTCTGAACCACTTTGTTATCCAAACTTATTTAATAAAGATTGGAAGCGTTGTGTAGACTGTGAAGCCAACCAGGTTGATGCAATACCCACTCTTTATACCCTTTCAGCTACAAAAAGCACTCAGGCAATACTTCATACTCACATATTCAGCTGTATCGTCCGTTTCCCACTAACCCCCCCGCCAAAGAGGAGAGTGCAGGAGAGAAAGTGATATTTTTTTTTTTTTTACAGAAAGAGAAAGAAGAGAAAGGGAATAAATAGGATTGTGAGAGACGGGGGGCATAAGAGGTTTGGGAGCACTGGTTTTGCAAGGTCAGGAAAGATGGAAGCTGTTTGAAGGTTATGTTGTGAGGAGCAGCTGGAACTGAGCAGCAGAGAGTTGTATAGGTCTGCCTGTGGGGCCTGGAGATGTTTAACCATGCTACTGGGCGGCTAACATTACGTTACCTCAGTATTACCTCAAATCATTGATAGCTACAGCTAGTATTCATATCAAGATGTACTGTAGCTTTTAAGGGTTTAATGATGAGGTCATTTTTAAATATACTAAAAAGAATATCAACTAAAAAATATACTGCTGGTTGCATGCATTGCTTGGACCTTTTAATCAAGTTATTTAAGCTCATTCTACTCTACGAATTTGTGGTCAGCTAAATACCAAAATGTCAATGTGATGCTGGTGGCGTTTCTTCCTTCATGTGGAAAAAAAAATTGATTTTGATTCATTCATTCTCAAAATATGTAGAACTGCATGCAACCATTCTTTTGTGTGTTGTTTACTTTATGGTTCAAGGCTAAAATTTCCATTTGGATGATTGCTACTGTGCACAAAAGTCTCATTTTGACAGAATTCCTCCAACAAGTTTTGTGAAAAAGAAAAAAAAGGCCATCAAACAGGGTTCCATTACCAGTCTAGCTGTCAGTGGATGCTGATTTTTGGTGAAATGTTTTCATGCCAATTTTACTCCCCCCCCAGAAGGCACAGAATACTACAATCAGCATTTTCTTAGAGTCTTCGCATTTGATACAAGCACACAATCAGACATTTCATGGCAGATGTTGCTATAAAGGAGGGTTCTAGACATTCCTAATAAAAGCCATAGAGGCAGCAGAGGGAGGACAGCATGAGTGAAGCTTTGATTACAGCTTGTGCTGTGGGCTGAGGGGAAAATAATATAGCAATATGAAATAAAATCCAACGGGGAAGAGCATCCATATCGCTTCCCACACTCAAGCAATATTTGCAAAGCAGTGAGGAGGAAGTCCACAATTTGCAGTCTACATGAGAAAGAAAGTTGGGCAAAGTTTCTTTGAAATGTCCTCTGAAGTTTTAAAAATGCATCAAGTGTAGCTGTGTTGCTTTAATCGGCTTTATTGTCTATTTGTATCACGATTAAAGATGAGATTGAAAGGCAGACCATTGCAATATATTGTGAGAAAGAACGGCATAGACGCATGGTAAAAGCATGCTTTTAGGTGGAATTAAGAATTCTTTGATGTAGCTGACTTGTTCTACAGTAGCTGAGAGATGGTCATACCTGGGCATCGGCAAGCATGACGTCTTTGATGTGGGGTGGGCCCCGTGACTCGCCATTTTCCACGCGTACATAGTGTACCTGGTAGCCACGGATCTGACCGTGCTGCTTGCCTGGCGTCAGGGAGCGCCACATCACCTTTAGTGCTGTGGAGTTGAGGACCTCCACCTCCACTCGCCTTGGAGGAGCCCCAGGAACTGCGGGTGACAAAAACAGAAACTCAAATCAGAATAATTTAGTTTTATGTATTTTGAGATATGAGTGGGGATATGGAAAAGTAGAGGTTCCTTATGAACCAAGTGCAATAAACAAACAGTACTGTGTCTCAGTGAAATGGAGGACGACAGAGGCCCACATGACATTAATAAGCCCCTGATACATACATGCACACAAATTATCCATGAAATCTTAATAAAAACAATCACAAAAAAAACCTCAGTGTCTTCCCGCAACACGCACGCGCAAACTGCCACTTTCTCCTGTCTCCACCTTTTCAATTTGTGTCTGTCAGCCATCAGTGGGAAGCTCTCAGTCATAATGACAGGCCTTTATGGAAGGCCTTGCTTCTAGGCCTTTCGGTGTGCCACGGACTGGCCCTTTCTGAGATGGATGTGCCATTAATAGAACTCTTCCACTCAAACTGCTTCCATTTACTCGTCCACAAACACTTCAAGTCCTCTTCTTCTCCCCTAAATCACAACCCCATTTCCCCCACCTTCCCCAGGATCATGCACCAATCTTGTTTATTACCAAAATCTTCTCTACCTTTTAGCCCCGACTCCTATTTCTTTACCTGGCACTTGTCTGTCACATGATATTATTGTAATGACACCAGAAAATGTGTTATAGCCGTTGTCAGTGCACTGTGGCGTTCAAATCATGATACTGGCGTCTTTTAAAACAGGTACGGTGTCAATTTAAGCTCGTCTCCACTGTTGCTCTCGTTGCACATCAGTGTCAGAAAAATGCGTAAAATGCTGTGGTAATGGATGTGAAATGGATCGTGGAGAATAGAAACCAACGCCAGCCATCCGTCAATGATTCAGATGTGCTGTGACATGCCAACATCTTTTCTTGTCAGTTTATGCATTTTATAGTTCAACTATTCTCATTTATTTTTTGCCAACCAGCTTAGCTATGTCATGTTATCCTTTCTTCGCCTTTCTGTTGCAACCTTTGCGTGGTACAGAGTGGTTGTAGATGTAAAGGAAAGTGTATTAAATGTCCAGCACTGTGAAATTGTATTTATTTGTCAAATTATTTGTTTATATAATTTAGTTTTTTGCATCCTCAACTATGTTTTAAAATAAGGGGATGTGAATTGCAACCTTAGTGGACACACACCTGCTTGTTTAACCTCCAGCCTACTGTTAACACCCTAATGCACAGGCCGGTAATGCCTTGCAGTGTACAGCACTCATAAATGCTTATGACTCTCAGCTGAGCAATGGGATGCTGTTAAAAGCCTACAGATAGAGGCAGGATATGGGATGTGGCAGCCATTATGAATTATATTTGGTTAGTTATGCTTAAATAGCAACACACTTGATTTCCCAAGTGTGTTATCTCTTTGAAGTGTTTTCCTATCATATGGTTTACACAGTTGTAGTTGGTTAAAATGTATTGAGTATCTGGATACAATTTCTTCACACACATACATCCACAAACATTCACAACCAAGGGCACACTACTCCCCATGTAACTAACAACAATACCTTTACTTCTACATTAACTTTAGCTTCCACACATTAGAGATTCATGTACCGTCTTCGTCTGTGCGGCAGATCAGGGGCTCACTCTCAGGGCCTGGCCCGATCACAGTGAAGGCGGACACAGTGATGCGGTACTGGGTCCACTTCTCCAATCGCTGCAGCAGCACCTGCTCTTCAGTGGCAGGGACTGTGGGCTCTTCCAGGGGCTCCCCGTCGTCACTGCCGCCTTCTGACAGGCCCACCACCTGGTAGTGCACCCTATACCCCGCCAGGACACCGTTCTGACTCATCAAAGGCGGGGGGCGCCAACTTACCAGCAGGGCGGTGGAGCTGGTGCTGCTGCACTTAATGTCTTGAGGGGGGGCTGAGGGCTCTGGTGAGGTGGAAAGGACAGGAAGGAAGGGGGTCGAGGACGAGGAGGACGGGGAAGGGGGAAGGTAGGGGTGAAAAACAAAAAAATAAAAAGATGGGAGAGATAAAGAAAATGATAAAAGGATAAAAAAAACAATAAGAGTAATTCAAACAAAAAAAAAGCAAAACAAAGACTTAGGCAAAATATGTTTAAAATAAAAATCATCAAGCAAATGTCAACACCAAGAGGTATACATGGAGAATGGCACCAGCTTTTGTAATAATGAATCAAGTTGGCTACCCTTCGCTGGACAAGCAAACATTTGGTTCTGGTACAAGATTTCTGGCATTAAGGTATCAAAAGTATCATGGGGTTGAATTTCTGCTTGAGCACTGACATAATACTGCTACTGATGAAATTAACCCAGCAGTCTGACTTTTTCAAGAAATTATTGGATTTACCACAAAACTAATTTATCCTGTTGCAAAAACAGCCTTACTCCCAATATGTATGACAATACAGGAGGTGGGGCACTGTCTTGCTCATGTCATCCTAGTTTAAGCCTGTACTCACTATTCTGAATGTTTCATGGTGCAGTGCCAAAAGGGCAGGGTTGAACATTTCCATTGTGCATTTTATTTTTCAGGCACTGAGCTCAGGCTTTAGTCCTTAGAAAAAAAAGAAAAAAAAACTAGCAACAAGGTAAGTTCTGATCACTAAAATAACTTCAATTTTCTCCCTCAGCGTCTCTGCAATTATTGCAACTAAGTCACTCAACTATCCACATGAGGATTAATAACATATTGCCATGTCCATGAAACCAGCATAAAAAAGATGAATACATTAAATTGTATTTGTTTTTATTTTATCTAACATTTATTAGATAAAGATTTCTCTGACACATTGTCAGGTTCATCTTACTGAGATGATTTTTGTACCAGAACTCAGCCAAATGAGCATAAACTAAAACAAGGTATGTGTTCCTAAGTATAAGCTAGCAGGGAGGTAGTGTAGTCCTTTTTTAATTTGTAACAGTATGAAAGCTTTCCAACACAGTGGCTGTTATTTGTGTCTGAAGTGTTCTTCCAAAACATATTAAAACCTACACATCTGTGAACTTTCTAAATCAAATTCAATGCCTCTCGCTTCTAATCTGTGCCAAGCTCTTACACAGTCTGTGCTCGTCCAGAGAGTGTGCTGTGCAGGGAGCGATAAAACGTTTCACTTCTCATCCAGAGTTTGGTATTATACGGATAAAAGGACATGTATGAAAATATTTCTATCCAAGTCGGGTTTCCTCTATCCCTGTTTTTTTTGTGATAATATATTCCCTCTATCTTGGTGTGACAAACCCAATTCATTATTACATTTCTGTCTGTTATGTAAGGTAGAAATAGCACAATAATCCCAGAAAAAAATGAAATACCATCACAAAAAAGGCATTCCACACCCAGCAAATTAGGAAATCAACTCAAATGAAACCCATGGAAACAAGGAGCATGTTCTCATTCCAAAAAACAAAGGCTGAAGAAATAAATTATGAACTGAAGGAGGGTACTGGGAAATGAATTTCTCTGTAACCCGGGTGACTCGAAAGAAAGAACCACAACGACAGTTAAGGTTCAAAATGACAACTCATGAAAAAACATGAAAAAAACAAGATACTCAGCATGAACTGAAAATATAACATTTAACTTCCAAAAAAACAACAAACAAACAAAAAGAAATCACAAGCATTGTTTGCATCATACGTACCTGACTCCCACAAATACTACATTTTTAAGACTTTCTTACCACCAGCACCTGACTAGCAGAGCGTGCTTACTCTATAGTCAGTGAACTGCAACACTTTCCCTCTCAGAAAGCATGCCAGAAGTGTTGACATCTATTCCCCTTTTCAAATTAGTAAATAATAGCTTTAATTACGACTTATTGAGAGTTAATTTTGGGGTTATTGAGAGGGAGAGAGTTGGCTCTGTGCTGTAGCCAGGGCTGCTTAATACTCATGTATCTTTGGGCCGGAGGGTCCACAAGACTGTGAGAGAGGGAAGCCATAGTGGGAAAGCTCACTCCCAAGATATTCTGCTCTTCTGCACTTGGCCATATACACTGACAACCATCCGCATTATTTATTTTCAAATAAATCCCATTTCATAGCCTTGTGTTTAGGTTTCCTGTAAAGCTTCCTGCCATTTCAAGAATGCCAAGACACAAGAATAGAGGAAGCAAGACGGAAAGCTTGTATTACTGAATTCATAAAACTTTAACGATAGTGTTCTGACTGCAGTGTCACTTTGGGTAGACCGGCTTTAAAAAAATAAGAAAATAAAAAAACAGGGGTTCTGACTATGAGAAAGGCCTCCTCCCAGTGAAGAGTGAATGTTCCAGCACACAACAAATAGGGCAGGACCTCAGCCACAGTTCCCAAGCCCTTCTCTGTGTCCAATGGGCTTATTTACTTACGGTCTTACTGGATTTTGAGCCTTTCAGCTTCTTTCCTCCTCTCATATTGTATTTGCAAACTCCACGTCAAGAATGATTGCTCAGTTCTCAATCTTTGTGGTGCAGAAAAAGGGCTGTGAATCTGACAGGGGCCAGGCTATCACAGTGCACAGACATCCTCATGCCTGATAACGCTTTAAGACTGGCAGAGGCCCAGCTTTAATAAAGTGTATATCCCATGAAGGCCAATGGTAGGATTATGGATAGAAGAACTAAAACCACAAAAGAAGAAACTCAGCTAATGCCTTTCTGGAGGTTCTTTTGAAGCTTACCTGAAAGAGTTTCCTAAATGCTATTTGACAAATAATTAGTCATGTCTGCATTCATATCCACCAATTGACTTTTTTTAGTCTGTTGTGATGTGAAGAGCTCTGGGTATAAAGTCTGTGATGTGAAGTGCTGGTGGCATACCTAATCATCATGACTACCTTCAGATTAAACGTGCTTTTAGTGCAACATCCTCAGTGGCTATAAATGGCTCACATTGCTAACAGTTTAGCTACACAGGCCATTACTCGGTGTCTGTTGTCAATTCTTAAAATGACACGGATTGCCAATGCTTTTGCTATCAGACTATAAGCACATGTCTGCATTTGAATTGTATTTTCATTAGAAGCCTTCGAATGACAGGATGTTCATATTTGTAGATCATTATGGAATTAATCCCCCCCCCCCCCCCCACTGCCAAATGGCCGTGCTGTGGCTCACACAGATATTCCAATATATCTAAAAACCTCCTGCAATTACAGTAAGTGTGGGGGGGGGGGGGGCTAAACTGCTTGTTTGGCTAAATACAGAGGATTTAAAATCTGCCACTTTAATTTGAGAGATAGCACTTGACTAGCTACTGGGAGGTTCTAGGTATAATCTAAATGTGTAACAAAGCCTGACAATCCAGGGGTCTGGCTCATAGCTCATCACAAAGCATGAAATTAATTCTGACGCTATGAAATGGGATTCTTATCTGCCACTCCGGGGCCTTGCAGTCCCCTAGCATCCACTCACAGGGTCCATCTTACGTCCTGCTTTGCAACTGGGTAACAGCTAAAAGAACACTGGGAGCCCTCCCAGCTCTCGGGTTGTGGACCAACTCCGGCCACGTCTGAATGTTCTCACAAAAATAAGTCTCTCAACCCGGTCCGCTATGGCAGCATACCCCAAGAGGCCTTGCTTCTGAATGAGGGCTACAGTTGCCAGTTACATCTCGTGAGTTTATTTCAGCCTGTTTTTAATATTAAACAAGAAAAGCCAATGAAATGAATTTGGTCCTCTTTGATTTGAGGAGTTATTTGGCGTCACTCACCATGAAGCGAATAAGGACTGAGATCCATCAGTATTCATTATTTTTTCAGTGTATTTTCACGAGTTCTTGACAGAGTAGCCCCCATGACAAGAGCCCCTGGTACTGCTGCTAGGACCGAGCACAGACTTCAACAATCTGTAAACATTTTGTACCACAGAAAATGGACAATAAACAGTGGAATCATGTTGTCCGTCTGTCTTTCTTTTTACTTTGTGGAAAAGGGTTTCAGTCTGCCTGACACTGTATTTGGATCAGATCCAGGTTGAAATGGTTCTGTAGGGCTGTGAGAACATGGCGCAAAAGTCAATGAAACAATATTCATTACTCATTGCTCTGTAATATGCTCTTGAAAAAAAATAATCCAACCGGTATCGGTTATTATTTTATTGTAGCTTATTTCACTTTCATTTGAGTATGTTGTGATCCTTCCTTAACATATCATTCATCTCCAAATGTATCTCTGTGCAGCTAGTTCAGTCAAGAAACTAGGGCTTCTTGTGTGAAATGATTCTACATACTGTGTATGTGAGGGGGCTTTCTAAATGCATGTGTGTCTGTGTGTGCAACTCCCAAAGTGACTGCACAGAACTCGGGAGTCTGGCTTATGTCAGTTTACTGCCCTTAAACTTGAGGCCATTGTGTTTCTTTGCACCGTGTATGTTCATGTGTGGTCGATGTGCTCCCTGTTTATACAATGTGCCTTTTTTTCTGGTGTTTTTCCAAAAGGAGGACAGTTTATACTGTCTATGTTACACTACGCTGTGAAGGCACTTCATTCAAGCTATGTATGTGCCAGGGCTCTTCTCTGACTTGGATGCATAGAGATATAGAGATGCTGCTATTCCTGACTCGTATGAGAAGCCAAACAGAAGACACGTCATTTTTAAATTTAACCGTATCATGTGTAAAGAATGCTTACTCTATGCTTCCAATTTCGATATTGGTGTATCAGAAAAGCACTGCAAACCAACAGCTGTTAATTGAATTAATTAGTGAAGGTTTTTTGACAAACGGCAGACTGAATCCCTAAACCACTCAATCACTTACCTCAAAGGATCCAGGAAATCAAGTTATTTATTGTGATGTGGGAATTCTTTTGCTTTGTCTGACTTAGTCTGTGACTCTTCTGACCTCAGCAGTGAGAAACCAATGGACGTATCTTACGCTTGCTTGAGCTGAGATAAAAACCTAAAAACAACATTGGCTGAGAAAGACCAGGGACAATGAGGCCTAAGGTGAAACCACAGAAGTAGAATGGATAGAAAAGTAAAGATGGCTGCTTAACCTTCCCAAAGAGTATTTGATAATCATGTCATGGAAATGAGCTCTTATGTTAGACACAAAAGTTATTTAGTTGATTTCTACTCCGAACACAAATTCACACTAATTTCCAGGACAGTAGTATCACATTTCAGTGGTGGGCAGGCAGATGCAATTATCAACGAACAGTTGTCCTTTCTATCCATTGTAACTGTATGGATGAGGCAGTTGACTTGAGACAAGCCACCAGTTAGACTTATTCTCCCCCATATTTGCTCAACGGGCACCAGTTTGTCAGTGCTGTCTGCTGCTGATGTTGTTGCTTGTGGCTGTAGTGGCGTTGGGTTCGTGCAAGAACCCAACAGAAGGATGAAAATAGCAGCAAGCTACTGTTTGGAGTGATGTCAAACCAATATTATTTTAGATAACCCAGAAAAAAATAGAAATAAATGAATAAATAAAAAAATCAAACTCAAAACTTTGTTTCAAAAGACTCAACGTAAAAGGAGGAGGACATAAAGTGAGCAAGGAGACGTCAAGCCATTCCAAGGAGAGCTTTTGTTCCATTGCACAGGGGAACAAGTAGCAAAGAGAGAAGCATACAGCTGAAATAGGGTGATGTAAGAGAAAGAGAGGAGTGTATCCAATCCAATCAGCTTGCAGGTTACCGGTCAAGAACAGATGCAAAAACAGTGGTGAGGAAAACACAAACACACATCGACAGGTGAAGATGTGCACAGACGCCCGAGAGACGCCAAGACAGAAATGGGGCCGAATGAACACAAATCATTTTCATGCCGGGACTGATCAAAGACCAACGGTGCAGTGATAGGTTCTCAGCATTACCCCCAGTGGGTAGGAGTGAATATCGCATGCAACTGGCGCTCTCCTGTGTAGCTCTGCTGCCCAGCAGTACCAAAAAGAACTGTGAAGTGGTTGTTCCAAAGCCCCCACAGCCCAGTTGTGGGGGCACATCCAACAAGTTGCACTGGTAGAAACAGAAAATGTGTTAAAAGAGGTCTTCTCCCACCGCCATGGCTTTCCTATGTCCCAGTAAAGGTCCTCTGCCAGGTAATTGACAATAAAGGTAGCCACTCTGACGATGAATGTATACATGCATCTTTGTCTGTGACTATCAGCAGGATCCACAATGACTACATCAGACCAGTCCCTAATACCCTGAATCTAGCTACGTTTCAAGGTTCTTTACCATTCATGTATTGAATGTCAATGCACAACATCATTGTGAATCTTTGTGTGATGTGTAAACCCAAAAGACATGAATTTCATACCCTGTCATCACAACAGTCCTTTAGCTACTATTGGATATTTGATTGGATAAGCTGTGTGTATTTTCTTTCTCTACAACTTGCACTACTGAGTTGTCATCACTCCTGTTGGCTGGTTTATATAATTCAGTTGTGTTCCTGCCATCTGTAAAATAAAATAATAAGTCCAGAACTGATATACTGGAATAAATTGGAAGTAATCATTTGTGTACTGTTTTTTCTTCTTCTTTGATGACTAAACCCAACCCCAAATTCCCCATCCCCAATCTGAACACAGTTCATATGAGAGCCTTGGCGGTCTTAGAGGAGAGCTGACATTTTTTGTGTCTCGGTTACATGGAAGAAAGTGCACTTGCTGTTGAAAAAGGAAAAGCAAATATGAACAAAAGTGAAAGGGAAATAAGTAACCGCCACAATTGTCAGTCGAAGCAGAATTGACTTGTTTGAAAGTGTTGCGTACACTCATGCATATTTGGCACTAGAGGCAATTTATGAAATTAATTATCAAATGAAAGAGTTGTAAAACACTGAAAAGGTCACTTTAGCCATTTGTAGCTTAATTTCAACCGTAACTTGCCACAAAATGAACCTTTTGTTGTGTAAATGGCACTTAACTTAAGGTGGAAAATGCCATAATCATTTTGTTGCAGAGAGGTTAACAAAATCAAGGTCAAGGATTTAACAAGAATTAAGCAAAACATTAGTTAAGAGTCAGTTTGTCATGTAGTTCATCATTTCTGAATCAGCTTTGAACCCTGATTGTGTCAGAGAAAAACACAGTCATAGTTCAAAGTTGACGATGCAGTCGACATTAGAGAAAATAAAGTTCACAAGCTCCAGTGAAAGGAAAAAACACAAAACCTCATCAGAATTCAATTTTGTAAAGGCATACATCATTTAACTGCTTTACTTTGTTAGCTAACCCACAACAACATGAGAGAAGACTGAATAAAGGGCTACATACTGGCTTGCAAGGTCTTCTGTGATATGTCATTGGTGAAGGCTCCGATGCCTTTGATAGAGATGGCTGCCAGAGAGAAGTGGTACTTTGTGTGTGGGCGGAGATTTTCCACAACATATGAAGATGCGGGTCCAAATGTTTTCTTCATCTATTGATGATGGAGAGTATTGTTATTTACAAGTGTGATTTAAAGTGGTTTCAAGCACATTTTGGGTTGAAAGGCATGATGTACGCCTCTCGGTACAAAAGGTAGGCACCGAAATTCGATATGAAACACCAAAAGTCTTACCTGGGTGCCAAAACTGTCTTCCATATAGTGAAGTTCATAGTTTACAATTCCTTCTTTGTCATAGGCAGCTTCCCAGGTCAGTTCAATGCTGGTATCAGAAACAGCACCGACCTGAAATTTGGATGGTTGACCTGGAACTGAAGAACACAGCAGAGGACTTTGTTGCAGGAAATGTTACTAGAAATTGGTTAAGAAATTAATATTATACACACGACAGGGGTACCGTAAAAAAAATCGTAAGAATGCGTTAATGAAGTACTTTTTCCTGTTCAGTGATTTCTTGATAAAATAGCATATTTTCTATCAACGCACTAACATGATTAGCATAATGGAAAATGGCATAAAACGGCAGAGGATTAGATAGAGATAAATATTGAGCGGAGTAGATTATAGTGAAGTACAAAAGTTTGTGCCCCGATGGCAAGCACGGTACAAGTGCTCTACATATTCTGGGGTTTCTGAAGTTGGATCTGCCTCCTTGCCCGAGCATGGTGGAGTGATTTTGCTCAGCCTCCTGAAGCTTATGGAGAGTTTTCATATTGCTCTTTCTCAAATGTGGCTGTTTTTTTTCTGACTGCCATAATCAAACAGACTTTTGTCATAATTTGCAGAGGCCGCAGATGTGTGGGTGAACCTTGCACAGCAGGGGAGAAAACTTGTCTCCCTGGCAGCAGGCACAGTCTGTCTAAAGTTTTCGGAAAATGTGCTGCTGATGCACAAAAACAGCTGAAGATGTTCTTCATTGGCTGTCAAAGTCTTCACCTTAAGCAGAACGCCACAGAACAATGTAGCATTCACCATTTTCTGTATCACTTAGTTTAAACTTAGTTTGGTTTGAACTTTGCATAGATGCCTATTGAACGCAAGATTGCCAGACACTAAATTTGACGATAACAATGAAAGAAAAAAATATTTCAGTTTTAACACAAAATCAGATTTAATATCTTTACCTCCTTGCAGTACTTTGACATGGATGGGCTCTGAGAAGGGTCCGTCGCCTACAGAGGTGAATGCTAGGACTTTGATTGTGTACGTCTCTTGAGGAACCAGGCTCTGGATAGTGGTGATGATGCTGTCCTGGACATTATGGATCTGCCAGAGGCTCATGGGCTGGGAATCGTCCATGGTGTAATAAACACGGTAGCCCTTGATCTGCCCATTGGGCTCCTCAGGCTCTTCCCAGCGTACCATCATGGTATTTTGGGATATGATCTGGGCCTGAATGTTTCGTGGTGGACTGGCAGGGGCCTGTTCACCAGTCCGGGTTTCTACTGGCTCACTGGGAGGACCCTGGCCAATTGTGTTGACGGCTGAGACGCGGATTTCATACTCTGTGTTGGGGTAGAGGCCACCAATGCTGTAACGTGTAGTGGTGATGTCGTCCACCGTCTCATACTTGCTGTCTGGGGACTTGGCCTTATACTGGATTATATAGTAAGTCACTGGGTCTGGGTTGCCCGAGTCCCAGGTGATGGTCACACTGGTGGCAGTGGTTTCAGTAACCACAGGGGTACCTGGAGGCTTGGGGAGAGCTGTTATGGTGACAAAACATGACGGAGAGGGGGAGAAATGATCATGACAGTGCCTAATCAAAGAAATTTGCATCAAAAAAGGAGAACTTCTGAATTCCCCAAGGATATTAAATTAACACACATTGTAACTGATGTTTTTTGTAAATCATTTCAGACTTAATGAATAGTTCATCTTCTCTTAAAATACACCTCTTCACAAGCACAGTTATCTCTTACATTTGACAGTGATCTGCGCCACAGCTTCAATGATGCCAAGGCTGCTCATGGCCACGCAGGTGTAGTTGGCTGACTCACGGACGCTGCTCAGTTCGAGAACATTCCTGCCCACTGGCATCTCATCCTCTGGTGTCAAATCCTCTGAGTTCAGCATCCACTTGACGTAAGGCATGGGCGACCCCACCGCCACACATGTTATGTTCACACTGCCACCGGGCATGATTTCCTGACTCGTCGGTGGAATGGAGAAGCGTGGAGGCACCCGCCGGACTGGGAGAAGGCATGAGGAAGGAGAGAGGACGACAAAAGAGGGCAAGGGAGTCAAAAAAAAGAGAAAGAGAGAGGTAACAGGAGAGGCCGATGAAAATGGACCCTTCTCAAGGAAATACTTAACACAAAAGGTTCAACATGGTACATGTGAACTGAAACAGAAAAGAAAAGAAGTAGACTTTTCAAAACATAAAACAATATACAAATAATGAGAAGGAACTAAACTAACAGAACTGCTTCAACAACAAAGTAGATTAACAATAAAGCAACGATTCATAGCAACAAGGTTCCATTGACCAATATTTGACCCATCACAGCACAATTAAAGACACAAAAATCTATTACGAGTTTCTCATCTTTGGAACTGAACTTGCTGACATATATACACCTACAGCATAACCTGATCACAAAGTATGAACGTGTGTAGTAAAGGCCATGTGATAATGCTATCACATAAACCATGGCAACCTGGAACTTCCTGTCCTCTCAGGCACACATGCCAAACAGGAAGTAGGCCATTACAGGCTTCTCCCACAGCACAGGAAGTGTAGGGTTACTGGGCTATTGACCATCTCTACAAGATCTCTAAACACATTCTAGCGGAGGTTTGCACTTGAAGCCTGTCTCTTCTACCTAGATATCGTATAAATATATCTTATAAAGATGAGAAACTTTAATCAGATTTTTGTGGTTTAGGGTAGATCCACTGGACAAAGCCTTATTAAGATCTGACACGGTTCCATTGATAGATGCAGCTATCAGTTTCACAGACAGCATGCATAAATAGACCGAGGTAAATTAAGGAGTAAATGATAACAAAATCAGATATCAAAATTGAGATAAAATGCATAGAGGAATATAACTGAAGGGTCGCTAGCATGCCCAGACAAAAGACGATTGGAGAGGAAAGAAGAAATACAAGATAGAGGATAAAGCATCTGAGGAGAGGAAGAAAGGGAACAGAGGAGCAAAGAGTGACAGAGGAAGAAAAAGAGAGGGGAAGGTTTGGAGGAGGGTGAAGGGGGGGTAACCCACTTCAATGCTGTGTAAACTTTGTTTTTCTCCAGCAAATGTGACAAAATGTGATGGTGGCACATTGTCACATCGCAGTCCCAGTTAACACAAAATAAGTATTGAGGAACAAGGTGTGTGCCTAGAAATACATAGAAAAATAACTAGTTGTAGCTAGAGAGTCTACTATCACAGAGTGTTGGAGTCAAGAAACAGAACTGGATCAACAGGGAGTAGAAATCCAGAGAACACGAAAGAGAGATGGAGGGAAAGGGAAAGAGAAAGGTAGATGCACAAGGGCAGAATGACGGCTAATAGAGGGAGACAGGGAGGACCTCAAATCTCATGGATAGGAGTTGAGTGGAAGGAGGTTGATAATGAGTCTGAGACGCAGAGGGAGGGCGTGAAAGGTACTGTGTGCTTGCATGTGTGTATGTGTATATACATAGATGTATATATTTTCTGCGTTGGTATATGCATGAGTGTGCGTGTGTACAGTATGCAAGAGTTAGCAAGTGAAAGAGTATGAGTTAGCAAAACACTGTGTGTTCATGAAACGCATCCCATCAAGCACTTGACATATAGTGTCATGCAAGAGGTTCAACACTACATGAGCAGGGAAGTTTCAGAGTGATATTTAATGCAGGGTATCCTTGCCTATATGAATCTCAGGTGAGCAACACAAGTCTTTGCTCGGCCGAGGCCAAGATGAGTTGGGGATTGCCCATATTGCTATTTGGTCAAATGCCAAACTCCCTTCAAAAATCACATGAAAATGAGACATTTTACATGCCTGATGGTTATAGGTACCACCTTGTGGTATAAACAAATAATTATTTGGACTTTAACTTATTTTTAACAACAAAACAACAACATAATATTTAGGTTTTATATTTAAGTAAATATTTAGGTTCATGAATTCATTAAAAAGATACAACTATCAACTACTACAGAGGTCTATGACTTCCTACTAACTATTTTAAACTCATTTTCAACAATTGCTGCAAACTAAAGTATCTAAATCTGGACAAATGTCAAAATGTTTGTTGGGATGCAAAGAACGTCAAAGAGAGAGAGAGAAGCAAAGTAGTGCAGATGTAGAAGTAAAAAATGATAAACTAAATGGAAGAGCTGACTTAGAGACGGACAGATAGACAAGACAGGAAAGACAGGGACGAGAGACAAGACACAAGGCAGAACAAAACAGACTCAAGCAGCAAGACAGCAGACGAGAAGACAAACAGAGGGAGAGACAGTGACGGATGGGCACGCGGACATACTGTACAGTACGCAAAGGGGAAGGGGTTTGGGTGGTCGGAGAAAGGGAAGGAGCAGGAGGAGGAGGAGGAGGAGTAGGAGGAGGGCATAAGTGGGAGATAGAATAAGGAGACTGTGGTTCTGAATCAAAACAAAACAAAAAAGACCATGGCTCAAAGTGGGTTTGGAGGTCTCACACACTGGGGCTTAAAAACAAGAATCAAACTACACCTCCCTTCCTCCCCGCTTTAAACATTGCACCTCAATGCAAATGTAAAGAAGTCGTAGGGTGGGCAGAATGTGAGGTGTGTCTGTGGAAACTGAGGGGGAGATTCAGGGGTGGGGGGGTGTGGTAGGGGGTTGGGGGTGGGGACTGAGAGTGGGCATCAAGGATAGGTAGCATTCCAAAATACACCGTGTCGATCCAAATGGGATTCATATGATCGTTGCATGGGACACTTTGACTTTTACCAACAAACTAAGGGCACACATATTTACACCCGGACTGGTGACACCGACTGAGGGGACTTTTACCAGAGGACTGACATTTACTGACCTGGGCACTGAAATAATCACTAAAATGTACACACAGCATGATCACATGTAGTCTGCAGGGACCAAACATGTTAGTAAATAAAGGCCATCTGGCAGTATGTACAATATCCTCAAGGTGAAAACGCATCTACTGTGACTGGCTTTTAACAGCCATGTCATATTTAGCTATATAAACCCCAGCATTCTGCTTTACATTTAAAAGTATTTATAACATAGAGAGTCAATTACAGTTATAGAGGGAATCAAACATGGATTGAGACCTTCTGCAGCCAAAGCTTTTCATTTATCCTCCTCTGTACTACTCTACATGCAAGTCCTGTAATTCACTGTTAATGTCAATTATGTTACTACTTGGGCAAGACACAACCTGACCTTGAGGGCAAAAACTTCATTGCTGACCTTTGAGGAAATGCTCTTTTGTGGTACAGAAACTCGCACACTGATTGGGCATAAAATGTACCAAGAAAAAATGGTCGATAGCAGATTCAAAGAGTCTGTCCCTAAAAAATATAACATTTTCCATATATTGGAAGTAAAATGCCTCCATTAGAAGCATAAATGGCTACAAAACATCTGTTGAAAAACCTATCAATGAATCGTAACCTGTTCTGCCCCGATCTGATGGAAGCATGACCTCTTGGTTGAGATATCTGCTGTGTCCGATTGTGACAGGAGATATTCTCAAAAAAAAACATGTTGAACTGGAAAAAAAAGGCAAAAAGTCCATCATATAGGTACAGAAATATATCTCTGCATTCTAATTTGTCCAAAAAAAAAAGCCTAACGAAACAACAAAGGTGGGAGGGCAGCCCATTCCTCACACAGACATGCATGGGTGTCGCTATGGCATGAGTGACAAACACAGGTGCGCCCCCATCCACTTGGGCAGACACCAGGGAATCAATACATCCAAAAATGTCACCCAAGCCCATCCAAGCATGCCATTCATTCCCAAGTATAGCATTGTTTAAGACACACATGAAAACAAATGAAAGGAAATAAATCAAACTGAACAAATCCACGAAAAGAACTAAGTCCGAACAGCATAGACAGTACCAGAGTGCAGCTGTGTACAAAGGGGTATGCATCAATACTATTAGATGTTTTTCAGCTTTGATTTGTGTCCGCTTTAATCTGGTCTCAAATCGGAAAGATTGTTGGAACCTGAATAGAGTGAACAGGGTCTGTATTTTTAAGGGCAAATGCCCAATCAAAGTGTGCCTGACGGCGGTGCTCTTCTCTCCCCGGGACTCAGGTCAGCCAATGGACCAGGAGCTGAAGGGGCTGAGTGAATGAGGTTTTCCCCACAGGAAGATGTCTCTGTTCACCTTTGAGTACCTAACACTGTCAGGGCAATGAGGGAACTAACACCAGCCACCCGCCAAATACTGCTCACTTTTGGCTGTGGCTTGCCAGTGAAATTTGAAATATGCAAATCACTGAGCCAATACACAAAAAAAAAACTTCCTTTCTTAAAGTTTTCATAGCACTGGGGAAAACACAAAAACGGAAAGTCGGGGGAGAGTCTACCCGTCAACAGCATGCACCGTGTGTCTGACACAAAAATACATTTGGTCTTTGGTTACAGCAGAAGATCAAGAGCTCAAGGTCAGTTGATGCTACAGCATATTACACTGTGTCTTGGGTGGAGATAACGAGGAATTCTAAAGCCAGTAGACACGTTAGGGACAACATTAACTGTGCGTCTAAATGTCAGTATCACATGCAAAGGAATCACTGCCCTATCATTAGCTAGACAAAGGCCTGTATGCAATGACTGAATGTTCAAGAGGGCGCCTATGCTATCCTACCCTTAACATGCAATGCCACTGAAACAAAGCAAATAAGGAATCCCAATTGCATGGACAGGCTCCTCATTCCCAGAGACCAGGAGCCCAGTCGGCCCATTTGGAATTGAGAGATAATAAAACAAACATATAGCTTTTATTTGGACACCTAACAACATATAATCTTTTTTTTCAAGCCCCAATGTGGAGAGATAGCCAAGAAGCCTTACAGTGGACGAGGTGAGAAGCAGTCGAGAGAGAACGCCAGAGTACTGCACTAACTCTAGTAGTGGGCGGTGTTGTGGAGGGATTTGTGCCAAAAAACAGAGGTCAGAAGGTGGACATTATCGGCCATTTTGTTGAGGCAGATTTTGCTGCCCCAAAATGAAGGGGGAAGCCAAAATAATGTGCAGCCTTTAGTGTCACCTTGAAGCTGAGATTACACCCTCTTGCTGCCTGAGGACACAGGCGCAGTATGGAGATCCTTTAGTCACACTTGCTGGGCGAGGCCTACGGCATTCATACACCACAGGGGTCGCCGCGTATTAACATACCTCGGCTGCGTCAATGCAAAACAGTCACTACTGGTGGCTTATCAAAATGGAAATTATTACCTGAAGGAAACTGACAGGACTCATGGTAGGGGTATCTAATTATAGCAAGCAACGGATTGAGGGGATTTCAGAGTGTATGACTTTTTTCTGTTGTCTTACAGGAATGATGACAAGCAGCCAATTGATACCGCCAGAATGTCCCCTCACTGTGGTGATCCCTTTAGTGGATATGATCAGTCAGATTGAGAAAGGGAGTGTGTTCATATATTTGCATTAGAATAGGAGGTAATGCAACTTCTGTTTTGTATGACAAATAAATACACTTCTGATGGCAACGGGATTTTTTTTTTTTTTTAAAGGGGTGGCTATTAACTTTAGGACTCCTTGAGACAAACATCTAATAGAGATGGCAGGATTTTGCTTTGGCCGGTGAGAACATAAGGTGTAATCTAGCTTTCTTTCCCAACGTTACACAAATGCATAGCAGGACATGCAAGCACATTCAAAATAAGGCAGATACCATCGTAGGAGGGCAAACATGCACATGCGTACATCACAGCACAGTCTTTCTGCATCAGTGTTATTCGTCAGACTTATCCTTATAAATCAAGATTGTAGACGTTGTCAGGCGTCATTACTCTGTTTATTACAGTGGGATTGTGCCGTGCTTTGTGGACACTATTACGTGGAGGGCAGCAATGATAGATTATTGACTGGCAGCTTTCACAGACACAACTGGTACAATTACAGATAGATAGTCTTTTTCAATTGGTGTCGGGTGTCGGAATTTAAATTCTCTTTTGTGTCTGCGATAACAGTTAGATCAGAAGGGATGATTATATGTATTTCTCTAATGACAAATGATGTGGCTGGTGCAATGGGAATAAATACATCTATATATAGCTATACTCAGCATCTTCAGAAAGGGAAAAAAATAAACATTGAATATTTTTGATGGAGTTTCTTTCGCTAATATTTTGGGTCTCATGCCAAACAAAATGGCTCTGGAGTTAATAAAAAATGGCAAGGGAAAAAACCTGCAGATTCAAATGATCTTGCTGGCTTGCATATATACTTTGATGATAAATTGCAACTGTCGAAACACCCATGTCCTGAGGTAAATTTGCTGGAGCTTGCTGGGAAAAACACATGTACTCTTATGGATAAATAAAGGCTGCAAAAGCATGCGCATTTATTTGTTTGTTGTTAGAGCAGTAGTCATTCTCAATATTCCGGATACTTTACAGAGATCAGTCTAATCTCCCGGAGATCAGCACACTTTGACGTACAAATTCTCCCGCTCTCAGAGGAGACTGATTGGGGAGCTGGGTGTGTTATCTCCTCCACCTGCATGAATGACATGCCTGATCTTCCCAGACTTGTTGAACCGCATGGAATACTAGCCAAAAAACGTGGTTCCTTTTTCAAAAATGATATAGCTTCTGTATTCATAAGACTGCTGGGGACGTAAAAAATCTACGGGCAAGCGCAGCAGCAGGTGACATAGGAATCAGTATGAATCTGATTCATTTGGATATGTCTTGGAAACCCTGGTGCACATGCTGATGCTAACATTTAGGTGGAATATCTTAAGAGATGTTGGTACAAAGCCAATTGCAATATATATCAGTGAAACTCGGTTTGTATTAATTTCTGATTATTTAGCAAATTCTCCAAATTATTGTTAAAGTACAGTATGATACTTAAAACAAATTGTAAATTGGGTATCTTGTTGTAGTCCAGATAGAGAATCATCTTTTCTTACTTGGTCACATCAACCTGAAAATCAATTATATTTTATGAGAGTGTGTGTGTGTGTGTGTGTGTGTGTACTAGAGGAGGAGGGCTTTTGAATAATAAATTATAATTTGATTGAGTGTCATGACTGCGAAGGGAACACAAACAGCAGTCACTCAAGAAAACTAATCTCATCTAGCTGCCACCATTTGAAAATAAAAGTATCTTTGAGCACCCGCTAAGCAACAGCAAATGTGATGTCAAAGTCATTATATTGTTATTGATCCACGCGGCACTGTAAATGGCATCCCTTAATGGCTGCCTGAAATCACCATGGAACCCAATCAAGCCCAATCAGGTGAACATTTCTTTTCCCAGTAATGGATCGCTATAAACAAGATGACAGGAACACTGGCTGTATACACACTTATTATTTCATTCGGCATTTGCACTCCGAGAATCAAGAAGCAGAGCAGCGTCATTGTGAAAAAAGACACACAAATCTCACAAACAAATTAACCACAAATAGACACACATTTTGAACGGAAAAGTAAGGTCAGGAACAGAACTGAAACAAAAGGAAAACACACAAACAACACCGTAAACACAACACAAAAAAATAAACCGAATAAAGGAAAGCCAAAAAACAGGTTGTATCGGGGAAAAGACTTGTTGAGAAACCAAAGAAAGAGGAGGAAACAACTGAACGAAACACAGGGAAGGCAGAAAGAAAAAGACCAACACGGCCAAAGGGATTCTGTACAAGCATGCAAGCGCAGTTACATTCTCCCATCATGCAACACGTTCTGATATTTCCACGTGCTGGGTTCCCATGACAAGACATGCAAGAAAGCCTTTAGGTGCAGAAGCAATACCAAAGAATGCAAAACGAGAAAAGGCCCCACAATGCAAACATAAAAGTAAATTAACAAGACCCGAGCTAATCAGGTTTGCTTTCATCATTTCTTCCTCGGTAATAGAGAAACATTTCTTTCATAATCATTTAGCAGTTTGGATAAACTGATTAGTATTGCTTCAAATTAGTAACGTATCGAGCTCTGTAATAGGCAAATATAGCTAAAATTTTTCAACATGTTGATTTTTTTTTTTCTTTCAAATGTGGGTTCAAAAAAGTAAAAAAGAAAAAACACACCAACCTTCTCGAAGCTCTGAGGGATGTAAAGGGGTTGATGCAGAACACAATGACATGAGGAGAAGAGAAAAATAGGGGAAACACAGAGAGAGTAAAAAAAGCCACCTCAAGGTGTTTAGCTGCAGCTACATTTCCCTTTTCTTTAATCCTTTTTTGCTCATTTTCCCTTGTCCCTGCTATCAGTGACACCCGTCTTGAAAGTACACTTGCCTGCCCCGCCCTCCCCACCCCACCCCCCTCCCTTAAATAAACCAAAACAATTAGATACACCCCAGTGGCCGCACTGTTCGCCTGGTCAGAAAAAAATAGTGAGGCGCCACTGGAGTCAAATCAAGCGTACCATACTCATAATTCAAAATTTTCACAAGCTCCTTATAGCCACAAGGAGAGGCTCCTGTGGTGGCTGTATTTGCTTTTGTTAGAGAAGGAAACCAAATAAAGAGAAATTAAAGAAAAACTAATGAGAGATAGAAAAGAAAAAAAAGACACAGTTTGGGCTGAAATTAGCAGCTGCAGTTCAAGACAGTGACAGTAAATGTTGTTAGAAGCCAATCAGTAACACTGTCATTATGGTTTCTGTTTGGGAAGTCGGCTCAATTTTCCCCGGTACAGTGTGCGCCAGATCAAATTTAGGATTGTTTTTTTTGTTGTTGGAAATTGATCCCTACCACAGCTGCTAATCTCGAGTGCATTTCGCTTTGTGAACAAAACAGTCAACATCAAGTATCAGAATTGATTGACAAAAGTTAACTGAAAACAGACAAAAGGTTGACACCATCAAGGCATAACAAGTGTGTTACATAGTGTGAAAGTGCCTGACTAATTATGACCCTCGTGTAGGCTTTTTAAAAGCATGCTGATGGAGCCGGTGTTCATGAAGATTGCATGAATTGTTGGAAATGATATCAGGGTATAAGCTGCGTGTTTTTGACCAAAGGAACTACTAAATATCCCAGTGCTGTGTCAACAAAGTGTTCCCATTATTGTTATTTAACGATTGCTGCAGAGCTCTTGACTGCAATTTGCCACGAACCTTTTAACATCTACCATGCTGTATGCGGGAAAAAAAATGGGATAGCTACTTGACATTAAGTGTCACTGCATCACAGTGGAGGCAGCATGAGCCTCCAGGATGAATGCTGGCAAGAAGAGACACTAATCTTGATGAACCATTATTCAACCTATACTGCTCACAGTTGCATTTTTTCTTCCCTGTGCTGCTACTTCACAGGGTATGATAATAGCAGTAATAATGAAAAAGCAGCTCCCTGACCCATTTTATAATGTCAGGCTAGTGAATTATTTATCGGGAACAAAGTTATTTGGTACACAGCAGAGGGAACAAACTGAGTAGATACCGAGGCATCTTTATTTAATATGCACAATATAAATAATACATGTCGAAAATGCATCTGCTTCAATTTATCTGAGCTCCCTCAACAGGGAGTCATTGTCATTTAGCATTAGTAGTACAGGGTCGGCTTTTGTCTTCATTGCATGAAACTCAACGTTCTCTGTGACTGATTATTTTTCATATCTTCACTTTGCTGGATCATGCCAGCCAAAATTACTCCTGACTGCAAAAGGATTTAAAGATAATACCCCAAAGACGAAACGGGGGAATACTATGGATTTATGCTCCAGAACACCATGAAGGAGAAGTAGAGGAAGTGCACTATTTAAAATCTATGCAATAGAACAGTTTTTATGTAATACAGAGCAGCGGACTGTGTTAAGAGTCCTTTTCTATAAATTCACCACAAGGGAATCCTTTTACCCCCCCCCAAATCTGGAGAAGGAGAAGGGGTTGAGATTTTGATTGGTGGGCATAAATACCTTGCCATTCAATCAAAATCAAGACTTACCGTCGTGCTCCTGTACCTGAAAAAAGCTAATCAAAAAGAGGACCTTTCCGACTCTTTTTTGGGTTCCATAACTTTGACGGAGGCGGAAACATTTTATCGGGCACACAACTGCAGGTGTCTTACAACTGATAAAGTAAAGACATACGGCTTGTTGTGCTACACATTTCCTTCCGAGCGAGTAGGGGAGGGCATTCAGAGACAAAATGGAGCATAACATCATAACAGAGAAGAACATTAGTTGGTCAATTATAGTTTTACATTTGGAAGTTTCAGTGCATGTGAAATTACATTTTTTTGGGCAGGCAAAACTATCAATGCTAAAAGATTTATAGTACACGGGTAATATTATTTTGCAAAATACATTTTGTGCAAATACACTAGAATGGAAGCATTTATCATTTGTTAAGCTCAACAGTAATGCTACTTAAAGCTGAGCTGCACCGTTCAGACACGTTAGCTAACATGGGTGGATGTTTTTTTGGCCTGGCTCTGGGGCCGGATTGCTCCCTACCTCGCACATAAAGGTTAGCAGGGGACGAGTAGCGCACGCCTTCCACATTAGACGCCACGCACTCGTACTTCCCCTGGTCGGTCTCCTCGCTGTTCTCGATCTGCAAGGCACCTGGAAAATTACAACGTGGGGAAAAAAAAAAGACAAGAGGGGAGGGGGAAGAGAGAGAACAAGAGAGAAAGAAAGAAAGCAGGGAGCATGTGATTAGTCCATTTGTCAGTGACAGTGCATAAAGGAGTCAGACAACATCTGCTTAATGCCAGGTATCTTGAATTTCACAGGACCATTTTGTCAACAATCCTTTCTCTCTGCAATGCTAATGCAGAGTGCCACGGCAAACTGGGTTCCTCTCTAGCCTCAGCCATCCACAAATGAAAAGAGGTGGGATTCAATAAATACAAATGTGGACTGAATCACACTGAATCTGTAGCTATGCTGGTGAATGCAACTCATTTAAGACATGATATCTCTTAAAAAAATACCATAAGAACAAAATCATGATGTAAGTGTGATGAAAGGTGATGTAGAAGGGCGTTGAGATGGTTTTGTAAACTGAGTGAGACGAACACGTTAACCTTTGCATAGCACTCCACGAGGGAGAGTATGTGTGCGTTGGGGGAAGAGGGGTCATGGGAAAATATCCAGACATAAAGTTCATGTCCAAATGAACACTCTGCCCCGCCCCCCTGTTGTTAAACTGCTCAAAGATGTGGGTGATAGCAACTCATCAGAAAAAAGACACTTCTTACATTATAAACTGTGAACATTTACGGAGAAGAAAATAAAAAATATATTGATATGAACTGATGAAACCAACTACCATTGTGTTTGGGTTGTTTTTAATCATTTGTATTCTCTTTACTTGTTATTCATGTGTTTCGTTACTCTTCACTGCATTTCATTCATTCAGTCTTATTATCGGGTATACGGTTTGAAATGAACCCCTCTGGCTTACGTGTTTCAAACTGATTCTCTACAGTATCACTTTTTTAGATTTCATCTCTTGAAAACAAACCCGAGCTAAATGCTCGACAACAACACTGAAGAAGGGGTGTGGGGCACGGAGGAGGGAGGTGAAACTGCGGGCGTCGGATCACTCCTCGTTACAGCGCTGTTGACGGCACTTCCTGATGATATCATTAGGGCTTCTGGCTGGCTCAGCAGACAGATTGCAGCCCAGGCCTCCCTGACAAACGCAGCACCATCGCTCGTTAGCGTTTAGCCAGGCAGCATCAATACGCCAGCCGCTGCCCAGGATCCTTTGTAATATACCATAACCTACTCCGTCACATCAGCAAGCAGAGAGAACACAATGTTGTACAAAGCTACTATCCTGGAACATTGGTCTAATAACTGTGCCACAAATGAGACCATCGATCCTGCTTAATTATAAAGATGAGTCACTCTTCCACCTTGGCCTCGGCCTTTAACTCGAAGAGTATTTTTACACCTTGGAGTCAGTACTGAGATATCTACTCTGAGAAAAAGAAAAACGGACCTGAAGTAACAAAAATCTCTTCATTTCCCCTCAAAAGCTCAGATCCCCCTCATCCCCCAGAGGGAGCTGTTCCTGGCACACAGCTCATGAACCAAATGAAAATGTCTACCTGCAGAGTGCAGGTGGTAGAGTTTCTGCTCTGCATTTATGCAAGGATCTGATTTGGATGTGTTTGATGTGTGCTTGCGACAGCAAATGCCAGCCTGGTGGCAGGTGGCTTGGAATGTGCTCAGAAGCCTACCACCTCAACACCGGGGAGACCACAAAGTAAGGACTGTGTGAAGTTCAACTCCAGGTGGACCGTTCCAGAAAGCTCTGCCAGCGGCTCGTCAGCCATAGGTCCCTGTGCTGAATTACAAAATCTTTGAAAGGCTTAGGTTGACGTTTGTGCAATTGTTTCATCGCTTCATAAATAATAATGCTGAAAGGCTTGTGGTGGACCAGACAGTTAAATCAGAGGAAACGCTCTATATTTCATATGTTTTCATTCGCTGTGTGCCAACTGCTGAAGGTCTGCAAAAGCCTCCAATAAACAGAAATGTCTTCATCTGAAAATAATATTTCACAAATGTCATCTGAAGGTCAACAAAACACAATCACCAACATGCGGAGGGTGACAGATAATGAGCCAAACAAAATTAATTGAGAGCCAATTAAAACCAACATTGGCTGCTGTGAATTGTACCTCCTGGCGGAAGAGAGGGAGAAAGGAGAGAGAAAAAAAGGGAGTGTTTGAGGGAATGGTGGGAGTTTCATCTCTTCCTCTCCATCTTTGGTGGAGACGTCTCGCTAGGTGGCATTATCTATTGTTTCCAAGCCCCTACTGGCTTCATTACATATTCTAGCTATTATTTAGTGGGTCTGTGAAGAACACATAAAGAGTCCTTCTGCTGGCAGAACAGAGAGAGATAGAGAGAGGGAGAGAGAGGGAGAGGGAGAGAACAAGTGAGGTAAGATAAAAGCGAGGAAGAGGGCAGGGAGGAGAAGCAAGGAGGAGAGACAGGAGGGAGAGACAAAGGAAGCAAGAGATGTAAAGGAACACTGAGAGAGAAGGAGGAATGGAGAATTGTTCTCATCCATATATCATATTCCTTATTTTCGTCTATTATTATTCTGTCTCAAAATTGAAAGTTTGACTCTTACAAGGAGAACAGGCATTCATCTTACCCTTGGGGAAATCTAGGTGAGTTACGATTTATCTTAAACTGGATTAACACTAAACAATGAATAACAACAACAACAACAAAACACTGATTAATAAAATTGCACACCCTGGATAAAATTTGATTTGTGCAAACAAATGTTTGATGAAGGAAGCCCAGAAGTAGAGGGACAGAAGAGGGAGACTAAAAGAGAAATCACAACTTCATTCTATTTGGAGGTGCTTTATGCTACTCTCACACATAGTGGAGATGCAATATCCCGCCTGTGTTACATGTGTTGTGCTACACTGTGTGAGTTGCCTATCTCCTCAGTCCACTTTGTCATTTACACTCTCCTCATATGTTTAGTCTTTTGATAACCTAAAAACAAAAAATCTAAATTGATGCCATTTATGATTTCTGTACCCATATAATAGAAAGACCAGGCAGATAATATAAGCATTTAAACAGACCTCGAAGGGCTTTTGAATTACAAATCCAAACAAACCCTCTTTGATGTCCTATCTCAAGCAGCAGCATGTACATTCATGTGTGCACACAAAACAAACTCCACCCTTTGTCACCAGCATGTGTCCCTTTCCTACCAATTCTTTTCTTTTCTTTTTAAAATATGACTGCACTCTCTGTGTTTTGCATAATTGCGCTCGGTCTACCCTGCCGGCCTGCGGCTCACCAGAGCGCAAGTGTCCATTGGCATTTTTTTTTCCTCTTATCAGGAAAACAGGGAAACACCAGGAAAGAAATAAATGATGAAAATGATCTTTCACAAGCACAATAAAAACCACGCACCAAGTCGGTTAACACAATGGGGAGGGGGTTTACTGATAAAGACTTGCCTTTTGACAAACATCAATTCAGGGTGTCCCTTACTGTGTGTACATGGGGCCAAAAGGCATGTCTTCCCTGTCTTCCCTGTCTTCATGTATGAAGTTGTATCACAAACGCATACCAAAGAACATAGTTTGACCTGATTTCATTAGGAAACATGGAAAAACTGCTCATGACAGTTGACTATTCTGCTCGCCAATGATCAATACAAGCATGGCTCCATTTACTGTATGCAATATCAGCAAAGTTTAAATGTTTCACCTGATTGTTTGATGTACTCCGGGTACAAATGTGACAGCAGCACTATAGTGCCAGCGACAAAGGCTGCAATTACTGAGTGGGCACTACTTTACTTGCTACTTAATCTTGCTGAAGGACACTTAAAAAAGGACACATGAATGTTGAAGGACATCATGCGAGCGGTTGTGGGCGTTGAACCTAAGATCTCCACTTACAGGCCGTACCGACCATCCGTGCACCCCAGCTAGGGCCACCCCTGCTGAGTAATAAGTCATGTTTTTCTGGGTCAGAGGAGAAAAGATTGGTCCCATTTTTTTTTTCTTTCCGTCTTATTCCATGATGTATGCTGCACCATTAGGATCCAAACAGTGGCTACAGTTGAGGCGAATAAAGTCCCCGATAATAACGACTTCACTTCCAAGCGGACCAATTAGTCTCCATCTCAGTCAAAGTGACCCTCCCTGCTCACCAACACGCACAACCTTCAATCTCCACTGCCATCCATTCCTGGCTGTCTTGGGCAGCATGTTCACTGCCTTCATCCATTCGATAAAGAAGGCTGTAATGGGTTCTGGGACATTTGTCCCAGCCGTGACAGCTGCCCTGGTTAACAGCGCTGCATGCCGCAGGCTGATCTGAAGAGGTTGAGGTGCCAAGGTGTGATAACAGTAAGACTGCCTGGGAAGAGTTCAACAAATACATGTTTTTGAAGGCCAATTCAGATTCTGGATAAGACATTCTTGTAATGAAGCCGTTAAGAGGATGGATACTTTGGGCCGGTAGTCTTCAGTATGTTAACATTTTATACATTTCTGGCCAACATTTAGGGACACTGGGACATCTCACTTAATTTAAATGAACATTAAATGAATGTTATTTGCAGGCTTTTAATGCCCTTTTTTTTTCAGCTGTTGACCAGCAGAAAAATATCAACAATTTTGAACAAAATATCAATATTTACAAACCCATATATAGATCTAATTTTAGTCTAGGATGGACAGGGAACTGACAAAAAGAGAGCGGAAAAAAAAAAAGTGTAGCGGTGGGGAAAATCTGACGAAAAGGGAAAAAAAGACTCTTAATTATGAGAGGTACTGTGTGCAATAGAAAAGACAGAGAGAGACAAAGAACAAAACAATCAGAGACGGGTGGGACGAAGAGTGGAAGAGACAGACAAGAGGGGATAAAAGAAGAGCAAGGAGGGGCAAGCATGGATGATTAATTTCAGAAAGTGCCTGGAGCCGGGGTCGGCCCACCCCCGTCGCTGCTTTGTAGCAGCTTTGCCATGTGTGCCCCCCCTCCCCCCTTCCCCTGTCCCATTTGTGTAATTCAATTAGTGTGCTCCAGCGGGCCTTGATTGATTTGTTTAGGCGATCAACAAAATGACTGGCCCAGTCGAACTCTTTCTTTCCCTCCCTCTTGCTCCTTCCACAGCCCACTAAGGCCTGCCAGTGGCACACTGTTCTTTTCATCATTGTATCTCTGATTTTCGGTTCATGTCTCTCGTCGTCTCTTGTTTCTCATCTCTCTCCTCTCGTCACTGCTCACTAAAGCTCTGCTACAGTGGAATTAAAACCCGATCATAGAGTTACAACCTTTCCAGTACACCCATCAAACTCACTAAAGTGCACAGAAAAGGGCTGGGTACAATACCGTAAGCTACCTTAATGATTCAGGAGGATCTGTAACGAATATATTTACACTAACACATGACAACAAATATTTAGATTCACTATCATAAAGCAACTACAGTTAGATGTTTAGAGATGCACTTTAGAGCTTTTGTCAGGCCAAACCTGTCATGTTTGACAATGCAGCTGAAGATACAAACACTGTTTCACACTAGGATCCCACTTTACTGGCTGGTATATATTTATATAAGTTTTCACTAAAGCTGGTTCAGCATTGTTCCATAAAACAACCTTTCAGTTGTTGTTGTTGTATCGTTGAACATCACTTAAAATACCTCTTGTGTCGGCAGAGGGTAACTAAAGAGGGCAACAACGTGCAGAAATGTACGGATTTCTGATGTGAACCAGCAGCTTTTCTCTCCGTCTCCCTTTCCTTCTGTCTCCATTCTGTCACTCGGGCATGCTCTGCCACCACGCCAAGGTCATTATACTGTGATCGCACCAGCATGGGGTCCCACGTGTGACGCCATTGTTGTCAGCGCCCATCTGGTGGCTTGTAATGCTCCCATGAAATCCGTAATGAAGCAGGTAGGGAGTCCAGCTACCTTTCTACCTGTCGCTTACCTCTAGGCCAGCAACCTGGGTGGCTTTGCATGGAAACAAAATGAATGCAGATTTAACATTTGTAATTGCTCATCTCTGGCTAAAATTCGCTGAGATGTCTCACGACCGAGTAAAGAGTTGTGACTGATATTCAACAGTAATGTTTTTGAAACTTTTCAGCCTGCTTTCAGGGCCTGTCACTCCACTGAAACTGCACTTACTAAAGTGGTAAATAATCTTCTGCTTACTATGGATTCAGATTCCACCTCAGTGCTTCTACTGCAGGAGCTCAGTGCAGCTTTTAACACCATAGATCACTACGTGTATACACTCTAAGGCGTGACAATCTAACATCACATTTTGCCTAGCTCTCTCACGTGGTTAAAACTCTTACTGATATGAAAGAACAAAGTATGTTTGCTATGGTAATACTCAAGCTCAGTGCTCTGTTCTGGGTCAGCAGGCTTCAGGGCCTTTTCCTATTGTGCCACCTTCCTCTGGCATAAGCTCCCTGCTTACATCAGACAGTCTAACTCTGCTTTTGCCTTAACGTTCAGTGAGTGGCTTGTGTTTTGATTACTTCAGGTCTTGTACCTTTTACGATTATCCATGCAGCAGCTCAGTCTCATCGAATCTATTAAGCCTTGTACTTATAGTCCGTGTACTGAGGACGAGAAAACTTCCCTGCATCTCTCTCACTCTTTGTTTGTCTGTTGTCCCACAAGCACATGAGCGTGCAATCTGTGTGTCTCTCTCTCTCTCTCTCTCTGTCCCTATATTACGTATCGAGGGTCTAAAGACAGAGGGTGTTGCAAGTTGTGCAGATTGTAAAGCCCCATGAGGCAAATTTGAAAGTTGTCATATTGGGCTATATAAATAAAATTGACACAGAGTGATGTAAAATGACTCATCATTAAGTCAAGTGACGCCTAACCTGAATAAATGTTTTCAAAAAAGGTACATTGTCAGGAGTGCAAGAGCGACTTAAAGTAGATGTAAGTCTACATTTGTGTGTACATGCACTTATGCAAACAAAACCATTTGCGTCCTTCTCAGACAGCCTGATTACATTTGCATCTCTCTCCCGATCCTATGCTATTCGTTTCTTCCTACATAAGCACCACACACTCCTGACTGAGAGTCAGTGTCGGCACGCGGTATAGCGGGATGGGGAGAAATTGCCCTTTTCAGGCAGCTTATCATCTTATTATGCAAATTCAGAGTTCATATGTCATGCTTGCTTTAGTTCGCCACAATGTGATTAATGAGACCTTCTTGTTTAAGCAAAGCAGAGCAGGGAGGTCTGGGTTGAGGGCTTTTTAAGGAGTGAAGGGTCTGAATTTAGTCTAAAAGATCAGGTGTTCATGTGTTTGAAAACATGCTTGTGTTTGGAATGTCGTGTCACGTATGGCTTGTATGGAATGGTTGAAGATGGAGAACCTCGATCGTCACATGAATCACCCCCTTAGCTGTACCAAACTGTAATTGTGAGACTAAATACATTCAGCTTCTCCCAAAGAATACAGGGACACACATGGCAAACTGAGGTATTCACTTACCTGCTCAGCCTGTGGAACAAAAGCATTTTACAACAAACAAACAGACGACTCAACAATCACACCGAATCAACTGGGAGATAATGATTCAGCAACAAAGCCTGGTGGATAATTACAAGTGAAAGTTAAATTGTCCGTAGAAATGACAAAAACAATTTAAAAAAATGAGGGAAGAGGAAGAAATATTTGACAAAGCTATTGTAAAATTCATGGGAATCACACTGCGTTACCTCTGTCGTTACCTTCCCGCCTCGATATCCTCCTGTTCATCCTCTGACATTATAAGAGCCGGTTGTACATGTTGCCTGTTTTGAAAAGGTGGCCATTGCACGCAGTAGCCTCCCTAGTTTTGCCTGTATAAATTGCTGAGCCGCACAGTTACGGGGAGGAACAGAACTAAATCAACGGTAATTTCTACTGGACTTTCCCCCGACATACCATGAGTATCAGCATCTAGGGCTCATGAAAGTTATGGAGGTGCATTAATAAACAGAATGTGGCTATTGCTGTGTCGGTGAATGGAAGGATGAGGAGGATATCACAGGAGCAGAGAGGAAGAAGGAAGAAAGGTGGTTGCTAAGATTCAAGTATTCAATAACCTGGTCCTATCAACAAATAAGGCCATTGCCTACAACTTCCTATCACCTATCCCCCACCCTTCAGCCCCATGTCCATGTCCAAACAATATAAATGTCAGAGGCACAAAGTAAACAAACCGCCAAGTAATAACCCTCACCGTCCCTCTCCTCTGCTTTTAACCTTCTCAATCGTGTATTATAAGCAAACTGCAACACAATCTGAATTGCTCAGTAGTTTTCTGACACTGACGATGTGGAGGTGATAGTAGGGGGGCACAAACACAGAACGCCCACAGAGGTGCAGGAACTGCACATCAAAGGATGACATGAAGCAAGAAGGTGTGAAACACATATGATCACGCTCACAAAACAGTGTGTACAGAGAACACAGAACCCAAACACAGATGACATATTAATGTTAGTGGATATAGAAGAGAAGAGTCATATTTTTAGGCGGAAAAGCCCACATGAAATTCCCACTATGATGCCAGTTGGGTGAAGTTAGGAGCGGTTATGTCTGGTTTAATATAAATGAAAATTTTTTCTTTCTCCTTTGTTTCATTGTGTTAAACATCTTACCTCGAATCGGGGTAGCCTCTGGAGGAGAGACAAAAGACGAAGACACAACATCAGTTTCGTTCAACGTTAAGGTTAGTAATAGTTAGAGGAGTTATTTGGGCTGGAAGGTGGATCACTGGAACTAGATTATCAAACCATTAGGTAATCTCTTATAGGGCTTTCAGATATGGGTGTTTTTTTTTTTTTTTCTTTTTAGAAAAAGGACAAAAATACACCTGTCACTGCTGGTATCACAAAGATATTGGGAGCTTTATATGACTGGCACATTCCATCGCCTTATTAGTTTCTCTTTTTCCCTTCCTTGCCATAGACGTTTCAAGACAGGAAACACAATGCTTTATTGGCAGAGCTGAAGAAGCTAACAACTAAAAGGCGCCACTATTCTATACCGGGTATCTACATTAGTATGAAACAAACTTGCTGATGGAGTCTCCACTGAACTAGAATTTCAGGCTGTACCTTCAGGCAACCACAAGTTAAATCAAACAGATTGAAGTTCTTATTTGTCCTACAAGTCGTAAACCTGCTTAACTGTGACAGATAGACTCCTCACCTCAAGCCCCCCCCGGTCATTCATTCTCCTGGCTCTTTCCATTGTTTCATTTCACTGAGAGTAGCATGTTCCCCTATTCTTTGTTTATCGTGAGTCTGTATTGTGTTACATGCCTGACTGCCAGCCAATATCCCATTAGGGACAATAACATATTGAGCTTGTCCAGTCAGTGGCTGGTGGGCTTTTAAACGTAGCCCGGGTTGTTGCTGTGATGTAAAATGTATCCCTTACAGGCAGAGCTTTGAGTGTGGGAAGGGGAGCCAGCTTAACTTCAACCCTCTCTCTGCCAAGCATTAAACTGTCCTTCCAATCTTTTTTTCTCTCTCCATTCATTGTTTTCTTAATTTTTCTTTATCTGTTTCTCCATTCCTCTCTCTCAATTTCCCCCGATTTCTGAGGTTTTGTGTGTCTCAGTCTTTCCCAAAGTTTCTCGCCCTCTAGCCTTTCTCTTGGTCTCCCTCTCTAAATCTAAGGATGACTCATGGCTACAACGTGCCCTTGGCCATCCCTTGAGAGTGCCAGCAGGGCAGTGCCAAGCCAGGGGAGGTGCCCTACTTAGCATAGAAGGCCTGCAGGCACAGAGCTGAGGGTCAAGGGTACGCACTATCCTCTGAGCCTAACACTACATGTACTACTACACCCTTGTGTGTGAGTGCATGCATTCTTGCAAGTTGAATACAACATATGCCAGCATCCTACTAACTAGCTTAACCAACAATGCCTTCCATCAATCTATTAGTTTCCTGCTGCTTTTCTGAGGCCAGGTCGAGGTGGCAGCAGGCTAAATAAGGTAGTCCAGACGTCCCTCTCCCCAGCAGCATTGTCCACCTTCTCCTGGGGGATCCTGAGGTGTTCCAAAGCCAGATGAGTTATATAATCTAGCGTGTTCTGGGCCTACCCCGGGGTCTCCTACCAGTCAATCACGCCCAGGAAGCGTCCTGATCAGATGCACAAACCAACTAAACTGGCTACCATCCAATGTGAAGGAGCTGCAGCTCTACTACAAGCACCCTCTGCTTGTCTTTCCCCATCTCTGAGGGCGAGCCAAGCCACCCGACAGAGGAAACTCATTACAGCCGCTCGTCTCCGCAACCTCAATCTTTCGGTCACTATCCAAAAGCTATAATCATAAGTGAGCCTGCATTGCTGCCGATGCTGTACCAATACGCTTGTAGATGTTAAGTGGTACCAGTAACTTCCATATCCTACACAGCACAATAAGAGGTGTGGGTGGCTGGGCAGTGGGATGTAATTTACAATACCTTCTGATTGGATTGTTGTTGCAGCTTTGCAGACAGAGGCATCCTTTGTGATACCAGCAGGTAGGAGGCAATCTGAAGTTCTGCCTGGTTTGCAATGTACCTAGGTGTTCATTTCCGTTATTTAAAGCTGCTGTACACTGTGTTGCACTGTGTTTATGTATAACTCTTAAAATATGTCAACATTTTTTTGCCAATTATAGACAAGATTTATGTTCGTACTCTGAAAGTGTGCATTTGCTGCCACTAACCATACAGTAATTTAAAATCTAACTTTATAATTTAATTTATGGTTACAAATTTCCACATTGTCTGATGAAAGTGGGAAATGTCTTTAGGAACACATTTCATAGAGATCATCATTTATTATTGACTATCTCTAGTCTTCCTTTTTCGTAAACACACCCTAGAAGCACTAATTTGACACATTAATAGTTTACAATCATTGAAAACCCAGGCAAAACAACAGTTACATTTGAGTTATTTCTGGAATGATTTTAGAGACCACATAATCATAGATAATCACAAGACAAAAGGACAATAGGGCTCTGGGAAGGTTACATTGTTATAGAGTTAGAGTTAGAGTTAGATTAGAGGCTGCAGAAGCTGTTGATTTATTTTGCTTTAGCTGTGATGACATTTCTGTTGGGTGTTAAGGGGTTACTAGGTTAGTTGAGGTTGAGGTTAAAGTTAGGTTGAGGTTAGGATAATGTTAATAAAGCATGTTTGTAAAGAGAAGGCCATCAGATGAGGACCTTATAAAAGGACTGGGAGACAAAAAAAGAAAGGAAAGTAATAAGGAGGATGAGGGATAATAGATAGAGGGAGTTCAGTTTAAAGGAATTTGTTCCACAAAAAAACTAACAAATGAGAAGGACATGAGTGACCTAGGTCATTGGAACTTCGAATATTTGAATAATATAGCCAAGGATCTGACTAGAAAGGATGGGTCTTGGGTGGCCAGTCTGTATTCAATTACAATGGCAAATCCACCTGACTACGCGCACGCAACCATATTGCCATAAGCTCCCTTTCTAAGCTTTGGTAGGCCAGTGGTTGATCAGCTTAGGGTGACGATGACCTAAATATACCTCAACAGGCCGCTGACCTCCTCGCATTATCAAATGCGGCATTATTTGCTCCACAGAACACCCCATCTGTTTTGTTAAACAAACCTCTGAATATATTAAAATTATTATTGAAAATGTAGTCTGGCTAGAGGCAATCTGGCCAGAGATGTTGCCCATCTGCGTGTGAGGCGGGTGGGGTTGGGTGATTGGCCGAGTGTCAAAGTCAGACTACCCTCCAGAGGGCGTCTGGCTGACCTTCTCATAAACACAGAAACCCGCCTGGGATCTTGGTGGTGTCGCAGCAGTTCTCAGGGAAAAACCTGGCTGGCTGTTGTTTGCCATATCTGCAGAGCTCCTAGCCACTCCCTGCAGAGCAGCTTTGATGTCAACAAATGTGACCGTTTTCTTGCTCATTTCAGATTAAGTGCAATTGAACTCAGCATGATTCACATTGGGATGTGCATACATATGTGTGTGTGTGTGTGTGTGTGTGTGTGTAAAGGAGCCATCCAATGTCAGGTCATGATTTTAAACCTTTGCATTAAAGAGGACCTTAATCTTTATGAATGTGCACTCCTCCCAATCACTGTCTCTCTGGCCTCTGGTTAATCAGTTCTGGCTGACAAGGCCAGCGAGGGCCTGGGGTCTGTAGCCACAGGGACTTGGACAGAAATGTCAAGCTCCCTCCACACCTCTAGAGGAGCTCCTCAGGGGACCATGATGCAAATATCATTGCCCCGCCAGCACAGCATGGTCTGGCCCATAAATAACGAGTCAGCCAGCTAGGCAGCTATCCAACAAACAAGCGCTGGATGCCCTATCTTCCTGTATATGTACGTATATATTCAACATCATTATTACAATGTTGTCTTTTCTTTTAGGTGGGAATAAGTCAGATTGGTATGCACACTTCAACATCAGACGGAGTGAAGGTCACATGAGAAAGGTGGGGGATTCTTTTGCTGGAGCTGGAGGCTGAGTATGCTTTTAAACTCATTTTCAAACTCATGTTTTCCAACCCGCTTCCCATGTTCCCCTTTCTGCTCCCCCATCTCCTTCCCAGAGGTCTCAATTGTACCTCCCTCGATGGGAAAGCAGCCATCAGAGTCACCCCCTGAGGCTTGAGAGTGTGCCTGAGGCAAAAAAAGCAAACAGGTAGCACCCAAACATTGTCAACAGCAATCTGATCAACAGGAGAATCTGAAAATACACATTGAAAAGATGCCACGAGAATGTTTTGGGATTTTTGGAAATACATTTATTATCAAAAAATACTAAAATACTAAATACTAAGACCCAAGATGGCTACTCGAAGTGCTGAGGACATGAGAAGATGGCAGCCTAGGGGGCTTGAGCGTGCAGGCCTTTGTCTCATCAGCATAAATCCTGTCTGGGTGCTGAATGAGCTTTCCAGTGAAAGGGCTACAGAGAAAAAGGCAAGCCCCCAGCACTAACATTACCGTACGAGAGCCTTGGTATTGAAACAAGGGAAAGTCATTTCCTTTTCAGCCCTCCTACATACACACATGACCTATAAGTGAAACATACCAGCTTAAAGTGGCTGGGTATATTTTTTGCAAGTAGTTCAATAAGTCAGGAGAAGTACAAAATGTGGCCAAATATAGCTATCATTTGAGCCCTCGCTCTCTAGCATGGGCAATAGAGTCTTAGCTACAGGTCTGTAAGCCAGTGGGGATGTGAGCCAATTTGGCAAGAGACTAAAAATGCTCTCCTAAAGCATTTGGCCAAGACCAGAGAGTCGACCTAGCCCAAGTGTGGGATTGGAGCGTTCAGCAATACAGCGGTACTGCAGAGACCTCCGCCTGGAAAGAACTCAAGAGTTGTTCAGCCACTCTCTGCACTTGCTGCAGTTTCCAAGTGTATTTTGGGACAACGAAGCTGTTATTGTGAGAAGCGAAGTTTGATCATTTACACCTGAGTACAAAACAACAGTGTTTTTCTGGAGGAAAGTGTTGCCGTATGTCTCACCAAGAAGACAAAAATACTGTAGGCTATGACTGCGAAGCAATAATAGTCTTGGATTCAAGCAGAGTCCAATTATTTCCTCAAAGCCCCACTGTCTTGCAACGCAGCAGAGAGAAAGAATGGACGTGACAGGAGGCATCAGCAGTGTCGTTTCTGGATGATGTGGTCGGGGGAAAAGTATGTAAAGCCACAGCTTACAAGGTCACCTGGCACAGGGTACTTATGACCTCAAATAGTCCAGTAAAGTTTCTCAAATATGGTAGACACGGTGATTGAACTGGGCAGTGCCAGTCTTACTATGCATATTAGCATTAGCTTGAAGCAGAATGTTGCCTCAAAAGACTTGCTCAGCAAGTCTTCCCCGTATAAATGAAAAGTGTGCTGCTCAAAGATGGACTATGATTCCTAACCCCCCTCCCCAACTCAATCTGCTGCTTGTCCTTGATTTGCCTTTCGAAGTTCCATCATGGTGGGGGTGAAAGAGGATAAAGTAAGGAGTGTGGGCGAAAGAAAAGAAAAAGTTTAGCAAAAGAAACAGAACATAGGGAACAAGTGGAAAAAGACGACAAGGGTGAGGGGAGAGCAAGGAATGCATGCATTTTGGAAAGTAGTTTAAATATGCCATCTGCTTCAAGGAGAGCGGATGGGCTCTCTGGGCTTTGCGAGACACTTACCAAAGGCTTCTGAAAATGACAATGCAAGAGGAAAGTAAATAAAAAAAGGGAAAGAACATAGTTCATTTTAGGTTGAGGTTGAAGTCACTGCCACGCAAGAATTAAAAGGGACTATAATTGGGTCTTGTGTCCTACTGCAGTATCTTAGCAGTTTTACCATGACAGACCATGGAAGGGGCAGTGATGTTTCATGTAATGTCGCATCAATTTAAATTTATAATTCTAATAAGAGGCATTTTAATGGGAAAAATCTTAACGTCAATTGTAAAACATCAAATATTTTGTCTTTTTTTCAGTTTCATTTATTGTTTGGTTTATTTTTATTATCGTTATTATTTTTTCAGTTTTAACTTGTGTTATGGGTCACGGCCAAATGAAAGGTGTTGAAGACTCTGCGATGTGAGTCACATCTGAGTTTCAGACACAAATACAGACAAAACACTCAGAGAGAGAGAAAAACAAACAGCAGTCCAGTTCAGTTAGAAAGGACACACAGAGACAAATTGACAAAATCATGGAACAGATAAAGACAGATGAGACACAGGTTAGACAACAGACAGGAAGCTGGATTCATTTGTCCAGCATCACCTTGTTCGGTTTGAATTTCTTTTGTAAAGCACTTTGAACCATTGTTAAGAAGAAAAAAAAACTGCTGTATAAATAAAATGAATTTAAAAAATCATTCACAAAGGCTCAAAACTCACAAAGCCATGTGATAAAGTCAACAGGTAAACCCATGTTTAGAGCAGAGCTGGCCTGCCATATGATTATACACAACCTAAAAAAAAATCAACCTATCAATTCGTCAACCCAGAAGGTCATCGGGCTACTTTTCATCAAGATGTACATCATCCTAGAGAGAGAGAATAATCACACATACTTTGACAGCAGGTTTTGCCTTGAAATCTTAACAGTTAAACATCTACCTCAAAACTGTGCACCCGTAAATTAAATATGAAACATATCTCAAATTAAAGGCATCTTAGTGCCTGTGGACTTGGCAAGTCATAAATAATGAGTTGATAAATAGATTATTTTGAGTGTACAGCTCATGAGGCCCACAATTGGTCCAGAGACCCAATGGCAACAGACTCTGTATTTAGTGGCGTCTGCGCTCAATTGCATCTGCAGCAACAATAGGGGTCATTGGATTTTTTCGATTGGTGACAAAATCATCAACCTAAAATATCTACCCCTTATTGCCCGGGGCCACTCCCGGCCCTGCACTTAATTAGCAATATAATTAGACTTTGCTTTACTGGGCCTCTCAGTGGGGTTTCATCAATGGGAACAAGACAACATATCATTGTGTCAGTAGAAGGTGGACCTTGCTCTCATTGCCTACTATGACACACTTGTGGGTTGTTGTGAATCATTTGACCTCATTCGGTGATGTTAGAGTCTTACAACACAGTTTGTTATCTTCATGATGATGATCTATGGAAATAACAACATGGTCCGAGCACTATGGCTGTAACGCCGGATCTTTATACTGTAGTACGCTTCTCCTGTTGAAATCTAGGAAATTGAGCTTGCCCTCATGCTTTGACGTTCGAATGCTTTAAACATGGTGAATGCCCAAGTTTAGTTGGGTCAACATACATTTGTTTTAGTTTTCAAAGCAATATATTGAGTTGTATCTGTAGTTTGGCTGATTTTCAGGTCTTAAATATAAGGATTATAAATGGGCTGAATGAATTCTTACATCACTTGGTGTACTGCCGTGTTGGATAAATTATCCTAAAACAAAGCATAGTTTTTAGTTCCTAAAATGTTTACATTAGCACAAAGTTAGCTAAAATGTATGTTGTTTCAATTAGTGTTGCATTAACTTCCTTAACAAGCAATTCAACTTCTATTAAACTTCTAAACTGGAGATACGGACTTGTTGAAAAGCCAACAAACTGTTCTCAGTAACACTTCTCATATTATCAAACTATTTTGGGGAACAAATATTGGACTCTGAAGCCACATTAGCTGTAAAGCACAAAATCAGCCATGTGCCAACAATGTCCAGTGGAATCTTCAAGTGAGTAAGGTGGAAAAAAGAAAGCAACATAACGCTTGGGCTTTCCTTACCTGAGCGTAGCTGTTTGATTCGCCCATTACTTGCACTGGGGTCAATGGGCAGGAAGTCTTTGTACCAGGTGATTTCTGGGTCAGGGTTGCCACTGGCAGCACAGAGCATGGTGGCTGTTCGAGTGCGCTCCACCACTTTGAGTTGAGGGCCCATGTCAATGTTAGGGAAGCCTGGCGGGAGCAGGTCCTCTGTGAAAAGAACAGGAACAAGAGGGGGTGTGAGTCCTATCATTCAAAGTGGTTGTAAACCGTATGCACACTTTTACATTATGCTAGAAATTAAGCTATAACACACATTAGTGATTTCACTAAAACAAAACGGAAAAATACATTTTCATACTGTAGGACTTGGCTAGGGGTGACATATTTGACCAATTGCTAAATAATTGTCCATGAATTAATACATGGGCTATTACATTGGGATAGAGCCCATGTTGCCATAAAACTTGAATGCATACAATCTCATTCCCAAATCCCCTTAAAAGTGTTAAATTAAACCGGCTGACGACTAAGCCCAATCATGCTTCTGTATGCAACATTTTCTCTTTATCTCAAGAGACTTTCTAATCCCAATTTACCCTTTGACCAATAAGACAAATGCACCTTAGGAACGCAAGGTTATAGTTAGCCATGTAAAGTAGCCAGACACATGAATAAACCAATTGAGGAGATAAGTCTTGAATAAAAATGTAAACTGCATTTCATTAAGAATCTGGCTCTCCAAGAGGGCTGCATTGAGGAATCAGAGAGGATTAAGAACAAACACCAGGAAAAGCAAGGATTGTGCTTTTCCTCGACTCTTTCTTTCTCAGAAAACGACGTTAGAGAAACCATTCTGTAGCCAGATACTCACAGACCGCATTCGCACTGTCAGCTAGCTTTTCCATTAAGAATCATTTGTCATAATTGAATGCCCTTAAGAAGGATATTCTCAGTGTAACAAGTAGTAAATAAATGTCTTTAAATGCAAACAGAAGATCAGAGGAGGAGACAACAGAGTGAAAAGTAATACCGGAAGGAAAGCCCGGTGATTTCCCCATCTAGTTCCCCCATGTTCGCTGAAACAAATGACACTCAAGCCAATTTGTGGTTACACAGAGCTCTGAAAAACCACCACTCGATTGAGACACACTATAACCACCAATAGCCGAGGTCTGAATACCAATTGAGAGATGTAATCAGTCAGATTTCACTCTGGCAGTAAAGGTGCAAGGGTTATGTGGAGGGGTACGATTTAAGCCTCTTGGACAATTGTTATTGCTACACTTACTCAAGAACCATCACACTAGCCAGCAAAGATTGTGGGGACTTTGAAGCCAATACTCGCGCATGATTGAGCAATTATTTCAATGAAAAGACACAACAGTGTAGTGTGCTCTGTGGTCATTGTTCTCCTTCTGCACGCTCCCGGCTCTCTGGGGACAATTAGTCCCTTGGGCCAAATCACTTGACATCTACCCCGGGCTGGAGCCAGAGCTGTGACTCATTCTTAGATGATGAGAGCCTTTGGGGTAAGCACCCTGAGCTGTAATATGCATCAGAAGCCCACGGCCACATTACAACTCGGAGAAGATTGACTGAGTACGATGCTAGCCAGTGGCACAGCAGAGGTCACTGTTAATCTGGAGAGCAATGACCTCATATCCAGTCTGCAGACATCATCGTGGTGTAGTCGACACCTGGGGAGTGTTAAATTATGGTAAATTGGGACAGTCAGTTGAGTCAGACGAATAATCAAAAGGAAGGGTTGGTCTGTCTGCCTTTAAGGGGAACCTTTGCTGATTTGTAGCCGGCTTTGTATCGCTGTTATGTGGGTTGTAAGTGTGTTTGCGTCATCCAGCAGACGCTCGCCAGCAATTAAGGGGGAGTTCTAGGTGCCGGTAACACGGAGGGAAGCTGAACATCGTTCATTTGCACATAGCATCCACAGTGCGATGATACAAAGCCGGTTGGAAGTTTCCCTTTTTTTCGGACAGGGAGAGCTCTGCCATACTATATTTTTCACTCTCTAAAAATGCCTGTGCACAATGCAATTATGATGAATTAAAGTGATAATTATTTCAAAATCTTCTATTTTGACCAATGTCTCATTTGAAGTCATGCCATTTGAGTAATTCATATTAAAATCTGAAATGTGATTTTGAAATTTTGAATCTTGGAAAATAAATGACAAGAAGGAAAAATCAGAGGTTCTCAAAAATCAGTCCAGAGAGGTTCTAACTTAGGCTACCATCAGCAGAGCACGGAGGATATTTCATCGCTAGGTTCAAAGAGGTACATTCATTTACACTGTTTTAGGCTGCATGCTGTGTCCTCTTCATGACTATTTATGATCAGCCATGCATAATCTCTTTACACCAAGTTCCCTTGAAGCTTGGAAAATCAATGACAAGCCTATACACTTCACTTTACAAACCTCAGAACAAGACAGAGCAATATGTTCTCATATACTCCCTCTTCTGTGTGTCATTAATGATCTATGTAGAAGTTGCCATACAAGGTGCTGTGCTCTCGTACTCCTCTAGCTAGATCTGTAATGCGAACGGCCTGTTCTATCGGTGTTACATCTAATGTATCTGATTTTGCCAAGGCCTGTCAGTGCTTTGCATCACATTGAGGCTGCCTGTATGGTATGAAAACAGTAGACAGAGGCCTGCAAAGACTACAATAACGAAGCTGGAAAAAATACACAGAGTAAGTGGATTTGAGACAAATGAAATCAGGCAATTGACAAAGGGAATCTGCCTGAAGGAGCAAGGGATGGCAGAAAAAGGTGGGCGAACAAGCAAACCAACCAAAACAGCAGTGAGCAAGAAGCAGGGATGGAGGATTCATGGAGCTATGATACTATCAATACAGCTGTTCTGACCTGATACAGCACCGGCAGCCATTCCTGAATAAACGGCATGTATGCCGATTACTTACTTGCCTAGGAATATACTCTGATACCATCTTCCCCCTGAAGCTTACAGGCTGAGGCGATAAAGGCGGCCATGCAAAAATAAATAGATCACTCATCGAGGGAGTGTTACTTCAGGGTTAGCCAGCCTGAGTGTGGAGGGGAGACGGCGACCAATGACATGGGCTGATAGCATCCTAGGATTCCCAAAGGGCCAGTCACCTATAATGGCTTTGCAATTGCATTTCTATGATGTGTACTGGGGTGTTCTCTGTGATGACAAATCTTCACAGGACAAATAAAATTGACGCATGTGCGATATTGGTCAACGGTGACGTTGCTGTTTATTTTGCCGGAAGCAGGCTTTTGCCACCCATGCCAACAATCATCCTACAATAGAGCCATGAGACACATGCTGCAGTTACACCTTGCAGTGTGCCAAAAATTCTCAAAGTACCATATCACTTTTGATTTTTTGTTTTGTTTTGTTCTTGTTTTAGCCCACCGACACACACATTCAGTCACATTCAATTTTCTTTATTACAGTGTAAATGCTGAAGCTAAAATATGAACAAAGAAAAAACTATCTAAATGAGTCTTATCTGATGACCATCTTCCTAATTTTAAAGATATCAAAAGAAGCCTCATTATTTGGGTTACAAAAGAAGAAGAAAACTCTGACTACTCCACAGGTACATTTGTTTCAACAGACAAGTCGGGGGTGCTTAACAGGAATCTTTATCTTCCCAGCATGCAACCGTCCTTCTTTGTTGGCCTACCTTATTAAAGCGGCACAAAAGCCTTGTGGAAGCATCCCATTGACCAGTGTTCGCAAACTTGTCAGCATATGCTGATGATTGGCATTTGGGCAGCTCAGTTTGGTCCTCTACACTGCTGTGATTATAGCACTTAGGCAGCAATGACACAACACAAAAGACACAACAAAGACACAACAGAAACCATTCAGTAGGTAATCCGATAAAAAAGTATTAATCTGCAGAAAACATCTTTACAACATTAAAGAACTATTCAACCAATTTGGACAAGTTTCAAACATCGCAACTTGCTCTATGCATATGTCATTGAAAGAAGGCTTTCAAATCTTGCAAGGGGAAAAACAGTAGCCTCGGGTTACCGTGATGGCAAGCACTACATGTCCACTCCATGCAACAGCTGGCTGGCTCAGCATGACTCCAAAGCTAAACCTACAGGCTCCAGTTGACCTTTTCTGGATTTTGATTCGTGTCATTCTCTTTTTGGGTTGGCTTGAGTGCCATCATTATCCATAATTGTCTTTAACTGCACTACACCATTTAATATCATTACAAGTGACAGGTGCAAAGCCGTTAATCAGCCTCTGGTTAGCATAGCCGCTGCCACGGCTGTTAATCTGCGGACTCATGCCTGCTGTTGCATTCTGTTTTCTATCATGCTAAGTGTGGCCCTCTTAAAAGGTCTGCCCTTTAGACTCATTTAACTCTCCTGCCTAATCCTATTCCAAGTGAATTACTGCTATCAAACCAAAACTCTTTCCCTGGTATAGTTATAACTGTATGTAGGGGGTCATACAGCTCTGTACAAAAGGGCTTTGTGATCAAATACCACATTTAGTGGGCACTTTTCCCAAAATACAGTATACTGATGAATGGTGAAAATTGAAAGTACAACCTTGGAACTCCTATTGCTGTGCTAAACAGCATAATTAACTATTCACCATCTGTTGCAAATACAATGCAATACTTTGTCATGAAAGGTACTTTACAGTGCCATGAATAGCACGCCCAACTTAATCTCTACTCAGTGAGCACTTAACCGTAGTGCTTTTCTCTACCCACTGACCGACACAGAGAATAAGACCTCCGACTTTTGAAATGCTGTTAATATGCTTTACCCAATTTGCTATATAGTATTACACGTGCCACTTAACCCCAGTGTGTTGGTGCTCTGCTCTACAGTGTAAGCTGCACAGGCAACTGAATCACTAACCCTGGGAGTGTAAGTCTGAGTGTTGGTCAAGATAAGACATGTCATTCATTTTTATGTGATGTAAAAATGTGTGATACAGTGGCACTTGTTGTGAGCCATCAGTTATCTTACAGAGAGGAGAGAGCTATAGTAAGAGAGAGAGAGAGAGAGAGAGAGGTAAATTCTGACTGGCTGGCACTGCAGCAAATGCATTGGGGTGCTCCACCATCCCCCGCACCCATTACTCATATTATTATTTTCACTTACTGAAATGATTTAATTTCATCAGCAGCTTAATCAGGTTAACTGATTACCCAGCGCCACA